AACACAAAATGTACTTAAAATTTTAATATCGATTTTTATTCAATTTTGATTAAGAAATGGGGAAATCTTTATTTGATATTTTGATATTTTTATGATATTCCCCATTAGATAAGTATGAAAATAATTTATTATTATTTTCGATTAAGAAATACTATGAAAGTATTTTTTTTTGAAAAATTAAATTTCTTTATTTATTGAGTAGAATTTATTTGAACATAGTGCTAAAAATATTTCCAAATCTTACCAAATTTTCGACCTAATAATTAATGTGATTACTTTTTTATGTTATTTTTTATTTTATAATTAATGAGGATCCGAAAATTGAAATCGGGTCTTAATTTTAGAATATAAACCGACCCGACATTAAGATTTACAAAATTGACCTTAATGACTATTGATTAAATGTCTAAACATAAGGGTATTTTGTGGCAAAAGGATGACAAATAAAGATGGTCAAAAAAGTGGATGCAAAAATAATAAGATAGATTTCCACATTAATTTTTTTTAATAAAAAGCAGATAAAAATCTATAATAATTCTTTATGAAGTATAAAAAGGTACGTCAATAAGTGTAATTAACATCTACATAAACACTTTTTTATATTTGGAGAATATTACCACACCAATATGAAAAATATAATCTCAGTGCGTACTGCGTAGTATATAATCCAGGGCTGGACCATTTTGATCCACCAATTATGTTTCGGTATCTATATCTATTAATGTTATGCTATATCTATTAATGTTATGCTTACTTATATAAAGATTCTGTTTTAAGGGAAACAAATGCACATTGATGTGGTTGCATTTTATAATAAACTAGATTTTTATTCGCGATATACGCGTGACTATATGTGAGATCTAACATAAAAAAAAATAATCAAATTTTATAAACAAATTAATATCAAATTCATAATTTTATACTATACTTTATACTTTGAGTTCGTTCCGTGTTTCTTTAAACCAAAAACAGTAAACAATGAAAGAGACCACGTTTTGTTTAGTGATATACACCAACCTACCTTCCTGTCTCAATACGCACGTTTAGGACTTAATCCGTAATTAAGAATGGTATATTCCATCTCCCTTCTATAAAATTACTCTGTTTCGTGTTGTGAGCTTCACTTACAGAGTAAGTAGCACAGAAGCAGAAAACACAATGGCGACTTCTCTTCAATTTCTAAACCCTACACTCTTCAAATCCTCAAACCAAACCTCCTCATCTCTCTCGCCATCTCCTTTATTTCGACTCAATTCCACCTCCACAGCATTCAATTTCAGACCACTTACTTCCTCCTCCTCCTCATCCGCAGCGATCATCACACGCGCCGCCGCATCAGGCGAGTCACTAACAAGAGAGACATTTCACGGACTCTGCTTCGTGTTGAAAGACAACATCGACACAGATCAGATCATCCCCGCGGAGTACGGCACACTCATCCCTTCGATTCCAGAAGACCGAGAGAAGCTCGGCTCTTTCGCGCTTAACGGGTTACCAAAGTTTTACAACGATCGTTTCGTAGTGCCAGGAGAGATGAAATCAAAGTACTCAGTCATCATCGGGGGCGATAATTTCGGCTGCGGATCATCCCGTGAACACGCTCCGGTCTGCCTCGGTGCGGCCGGAGCTAAAGCCGTGGTGGCGGAATCGTACGCTAGGATATTTTTCAGGAACTGTGTAGCTACAGGTGAGATCTTCCCTTTAGAATCGGAGGTTAGGGTTTGCGACGAGTGTAAAACAGGGGATGTTGTTACCGTGGAGCACAAGGAAGACGGTAGTAGTTTGCTGATCAACCATACGACGAGGAAAGAATATAAACTGAAACCACTCGGTGACGCAGGTCCGGTGATCGACGCCGGAGGAATCTTCGCTTATGCTAGAAAAGCTGGCATGATTCCTTCTGCGTCCTCTTCTTCAATGAATATATAGATCGGAACTTTCCCTAGAAACGCTGCGTTGTATTTGTTTTATTTGTATCCAAGACATTGTTTTAAAACGAGCTGTGGAGGGTTTGAAAATAAGGGAGTCTTGAAATTGATTTGAAGACGAGAAGTAGTTTAATATAATCAAATCTTGGGTAACATATATCAGAGAATAAAATTAAAATAAATAAAAAACAGAAAATTAATTCAGATGTTTGAAATGATTAATAGACTTTGCTCAAATATTTTTCGAGTAAATTGTCAACGATAACTTGATAAGCTCTTTCAGTTGGATGATAGCTGTCCCAAAATATATAAGCCGAAGAATTTGAACACGTGAATGGGTTCAATGAGTTGCACAAATAGGATATCTCAAGAGTTCCTAAACCGCAACATCCTTTATTAGCTACTTCAAACCCTGAAACAAAATGAGATCATTTTTGCAAATAATTTAGTTTGACGTAGATAATATAATTGAAAAATTAAAACCATTTAATACTTAGATAAATCTGTTAGATGAACTTACCATATTTTTTAGGGTGCTGGATCATGTCGAAAAGAGTATCATAAATATCAATGTAAAAGATAACACCATCCAATTCTTTATCCAAAGAATCTAGTGCTGGAGAAAGTTTTGAATTAAATTGTTTTGCCATGGTGTTTAGAGGTTGATTACATCCTCTTGTTAAGAAACCCCCAAATACAGTTCTTTGGAGTGGAACACAACCAACAGGAACTGCACTAAAAACTCCAATTTTTCGAGCTCCAAGCTTATGTAACTCCTAAAATTAAATTAATTTTGTAAAGGTACATTACTTTTGGATATATGTATATCACTAATTAGGTTATATTTAACTACAATTATAGTACTTACTCTCACAAATTTGACTGCAGAATCGGCCAAGAAATTAGCATACGAGGTACGATCATATCTATTAGCTCGAGATAAATAAGTGTGAGCAAGGTCATTGCTACTAGAGACCACGAGAAATAAACTGTTTTCCACAATATCTTTTGCTTTCTCTTCTCCAAAATGTTTTTTGATCGTTGATATATATTTTTTGAAATAAGTGAGTTGATCCCACACCGATATCACAGACTTCAGAAAATATGTATAAAAATAAGGAAAATGACACACCCATAAGAAAATTATAATAATAACCATGATGATAAAACATAAGTTAATTATATAGTACCATGATTTGTGCCGTTAATGGATCATAACCAGTTCCTCCAGATGCAAATGTTACACCTTTAAGAAGATCCTTAGGCTTTAAATTCGGATTCATATATGCTGGCAGTGTCTTAGCCAATCCTAATTTTTCAGCTGCAATATTGTATAACATACTTATCACACTATATAAATAGCTATATAATCTTAGTTCAAACAAAAAAGAAAAGAAATAGCTCTAATTTACAGATTTTGAGAAATATAAAAAATAGTTCAAATGGTTACCAATAATATCAGAAGGAACTCTTCCATCAGAAAACCTTCCCGTGGCAGAACCTCCGGGAAAATCTTTACCATATGGAGGAAAGTTACACTTTAGAGGAGTAGAAAGATTATTGTTGTTTCCTGTATCCATGATCGAATCTCCAAAAACTATGAGTGCTGGGATTGTTGTGTTCTTTCCTTGAGCAGTTGAAGTAGCTTCGATGGCAAGTAATACCAAAGTGAGCCATAACATTTGAAACTTCATTGTCTTGTTTGACTTGTTTACTTTTCTGCTCTAGCTAATTTGCTTGTACGTGTTTTAAACGTTCAGAGACATGTGTGCATGCTTATATATACCTTGTTTCTGTTTGGCGGATTTTTCTAAAGTTATCTCTTAACTTTTAGTTTGTTTTATAAGACATGTGTGTATGCTTATAATTTGTTAGGTTCTATGCTAATTAGTAATTACTTTAGTCATATTATTACTTTGATGTAATGTAATTACACTGGAACGATAGCAAAACTTTATTGTTCTTTCTTTCTTTATTTTTTTTGTTGGTCAAATCTGTTCTTTCTTATCTATGTTTAGGATTTAGACCAAACAAGTAATGTAATCATAGTTTGTTATATAACACTGAATATACGCCAAACTTGACTATGACACTGAAAACATTATATAAGAAAATATTCTTGTGGTTAATAATCGAGTACTGTTTTATTTTCTAATTTAAAAACAGAATAAGAATTAATTATTATATTTTCGTAAATATAGTATGTTTTTATTTAATGTAGTAGAAACATCCACCACATGTGTTAAGGGTTTGGATTTAGACCACATGTTTTTTTTTTTCTTTGTATGGTAAAGCAGTATGGGTTTCCTCTATCCTCCTACTTATATGGCTGACAAAAACATTAAACATAAGATCACCTAAATGCATTTGTTTTCTTTATAAAATGTTGATTAGTTCGATACTACTATAATATGAACCTTTTTTTTTGTGCACCAAGTATTTTATGAACTTAATTTACAATATTATTCTTTTGATAAATCAGCTTTACAAATTACAATATTACAAAGCAAACAGTCCTTTGGAGTTGGCAAAGAAGTGTTTGCGGCTGATAAGTTCCGGTTTTTTATGACCGGTAAAGAGAAGTCCGGTTAACAGAGACGGAGGACCGGTGGATTTGGTTTGCACCAATTCCCTTACTTTCATATACCCGTCGAGTGTCATCAACTCCAAAAGCTTTCTACAACTCTGAGATTGATAAGTTACACAATGTTATCAGAGAGCAAAACACAGATATTGTTAAACAAGAGCTTTACAAGATTATTATTATGATCAGTTTTACTATATGAATGCATTAGAAGAAAGATTTGTATTATTACCTGAGGATTTAGTACTTCCATATGGTTTATAATTTCGTCCTGCCACAAATAAATTGAGTATTGATTAGTATTTTCATAGAGCTGATCAAAACCATGAACGGTACGAGCTTATTTGATGATATATAGACAAGTATATTTACCTCAGGTATACCAGGATTTTGCATCACGGTACCAAGTACGCGGCGAACTAGTCCATCCAAGACAACTTTATTTATCGATCCATCTGCGTTTATCCATGGAAGTATAGGCTTAGGTTGTGACGACTTCACAGAAGTTGATTCTTTTGTTACGCCTTTGGTACAAGTTCCAAGAGTAAAAGATGGAGCTCTGATAGATACTTCGTGCAAACTGCTTGTTTGAGTCATTTCAGGAAGGTTAAATATTGTAACCTTGTGAACACTGTTCCCAGCGACATGCTGCTCTTGATTGTCTTGTGAAGTACTGTAGCTGCTGGCGACAACATTGTTTGACCTTTGTTCCTTTAAAGCTCTGTCTGGGTAGTTCACTGGTACAGTCTGTTGACCATTTTGAGTTGTTCCACCTTCCTCTAATGTCAAGAAGTATTTTGATCGGTAGAGCGAATGGACAAGACGGAAATCATTATAGCCATTTACCTGAATAAGATAGTGTCTTGTTAAAAATTATTTGTAAAATGATGTAACTGACATGAACAGAGTTTATAGTCCAAGATTATAAAACTAGTAAGCCTTGAATGTTTGTAAGACAAGAGATGGTAAGACAAACCTTCAAAGCTACCCCAAATGTTTGAAGTACTTCTACAATGCAGTCACAAGTTTCTTTCCCTGCAGATGAATAAACAGAGGTTAAACTACAACAGTGAAGTAAGTCACCAACGCATGCTAAACTGTTGAAGAGGTTAGCCTGATACTTACTTGGAATATTAGTAAGACGATGGACTTCTTCAGTGCTCAAACCTTGGTCACCAGCCTTCTGAAGGGCATTGGAAACGGCTTCAAAAACCTTGGGAATGAATAAACTCAGTTGGTCGTCTGCAGATCCAGGCATGATACAACTAGCAACATTGGCCATCACTTGCCAGGGAGAATCAACTAAACTGCCTGGTATCACGGTGGCATCCATAGAGTTGAAAAGTTCTTTCATATCATCAGAATCACAGTCACCACTTGTTTCCCCCGACTTAAAATGAAGTTCACCAGAGCGAGAGTCATCATCCTTAAACAACTCTATTGCGTTAGCTATTGGTAGATTTACACGACGAACAGAAACTGCTATACCCGGGAAACCTTTTTCCTTTCGGAAGTTGATTTCACCTTCGCCTAATAGCTTAAATTTCTTAGCATTATCAGGTTCAGATTCTTCTACGTCATCAGCTCTACGTTTTAAACCTCTTCGATCTCCAGGCTCTCCAACACCTTCTTGGGGCAAGGATACAGATATAGAGAGTTCACCAGAAGCAATCAATGAAAAGAAACTTAAAGCATCACCACATTCCAAATCTGAACTAAGAGCGACTCCTCCAGCCATAAGGTCTCTTTCATGTTCGAGAAGCCAACTAGAGAACTTGGCTGCTCTTTTCCCAGTATTAACCGGGAATGGTGACTTCGAAATACTATGCAGGAAGTTCTGAGAAAGCACAAATGGCTGTCCACCACTTCCACCAACCTGGAAAAAAATGACTTTCAGTTTTCAATAACAGTATAGCTACTAAATTTGATTCAAAGGGATATAAGGAAAACTGTTTCTTATTCATCATCTCATCTAAACATTAACCATGCACATAATGTGGTTTTGACAGCAGCGTGCGCTAACCAATAAAAGGATGAAAAGATGATACCTCAAAGTTAAACATGCTATGGTATTAAAATAGAGCTTCAAAAAACTATTAAGTAGTTTTACCAGGAACTTTTTGTCTCTGAGGTAGCTATAGGCGGTAAATAGGTCTTGCTCTGAATACTGTCGTAAGGTATCTTCCAACAAATTTGGCATACCGGGTGCAGTAGGCATGCTCAGATAGACAAGCTTTAACAGTTCTATGGCATTAGAAACTGCCAGAGATTTCTGCACTTGTATACTACCGTCGTACTTTTCATCTAAAGGACTAAAAATTTTATGAAGACGATAATATCCAGATCGTTGAGAGGTATCTTTAACTTGATCAACAGAAGCAGTTGGACTGTTCTCTGAGTGAATTTCAGGTGGAACCATTTCACTCCCCTGCAAAGTCCATTATATTAGTTTATCATAAATCACCAAAAACAAATAACCATTGAAACTAAAGGGATGTTGTCAAACAAAAGAAAAGTAAGCAATAAAGGATGCACCTCATCAACTATATCTCTGTTTGACCATTCTCGAGACCTAGTTCTCGACCGTTTAGGGGCCACCAGTTTAGCCATCTTCTTGAGCTCAAGAAGATCATTAAAGGCTTGACTTATACTCTTTTCATTGAAGTCATCCCATTTTTCTTCAACAAAACAAGTATCTTTACGGTGCTCAACAGAACCAGATTCCATTTCCTCATTTTCCTGATATAGATATCTAACGCGAACATGTGAACTGTTTCTCCCGGGCAAACACTTCTGTTTCGTCTCTAGATGTTTTGCATAACGCTCAGTAAGCAGATTGCAAATCCCCATGACCGCCTTCCGGACTTTATCATTCTTCATTATCGTTTGAATCCGTCGCTTGCAAGCTAAAGGAGGTGCCGGCAGATCTGGAACTGAAGCCCAATTGACTCCATGAAATTTTGCCCCAAGAGCTGCACGGTGTCTAACATATTGACTTAACAATTTCCTGACCAGAGAAAACATGTGTCAGTGGTATATATCAATCAGAGATAATAACATATTTTAAAGAATGTTTACAATAAGAACCAGTTAGATGTATGATCACCACTCAGGCAATAATATAAACTTTCAGTGGACGTGACAAGTTTACCTGTCCGCCTCATCTGTCCACATAAATCTTTGTGAAGGAATTGATGTGATCTTTGAGCTTGCATTCCGGTTGATGATGGAAGAACACTGACCTTTGTCTTCAGTAAGGTCCCTTATGTCTGCATTTTCTTGTTGATTGTGCTCCTGATGCATTGGAATGGAGGTTTGGTCCTCTTGTATTGATTCTTGAAAACTCTCACTACGTGTGGAATCAATGGCTTCAGAATTTATAACCGTCTGTCCATCTACTATTATGGATCCGACACCATCTCCTGTAGTCTTTAAGAGGGATGCTCTTTTTCTTTTTCTGGAAGATGGACTATTTTCTACAACAATTTTTTTATCTTTTGATGTTGATATCAATCGTCTTCCATGCTTCGCATGATAAGCATGCATAACCTGGATTGACAACCAATAAGTAAAAGAGCATAAAGGTTCTGTTAGATTTATGGTGGGTGTTTTAAAGCTGAAACATTGAAGAAATCAGTGTTCACAGTCCCAGGCGGCATGGTTTCTACGATCAATGACAATAAGGAAATTATTTGCCAAACTACCACCAGGTCTGAAATATTTATTCCATATCAGGTGACTAAGATATACACAACACACACAAAACATATCTTTACCTGCTCTATGGTCAGGTTCAGATCCTTAGAAATCTTCTCACACTCTTCAAAAGAGATTTTTTCCTTCTCATCGATTGCAATACACCGTAAGAGCTTCGCACGTTGCTCTTCGGTCATGACATGATCTGAGGCCCAAGAGCGGCTAAGAAAAACCTAGAAGAATTGACAGTTAGAAACTGTTTTCTGAAAAGATAATATAACAGGCAGCTGCAAAAATATTATCAGAGGAGATATACATATTGAGTAGGTTGTGATGATTATTTTTGGTTCATGGACTCAATTGTTGTATATATAGTAAGCCATAATATATAGGATCAAGCTTATACCTCTTGAACAACAGATCCCGGAAATGCTTGCTTAGCAGCTCTGTGATCAGCAGCAGCATAACAATATTCTAGAGTTCGCCAGTATTCATCAACAGTATCTCTATTTGATAGAATAAAGTCATGTCGAATACGTGGACGAAAATCAAGAGACATGACGTTGGGTGTAGCAGCAACAAACACAGGTTCCTCTATGTAAGGCTTAAGCTCCATTGCATGTGTCAAATTAGAATACTTCTCTTCAATTTCATCACGTCTGAGTCTACTACTTACCATCTGAATCAACTACAAAATGAACATAGCACACGCAATATAATTATTCAGTTTGAGAACTGCAAATTTATGATATAATGTACTAAAACATGGTACTTGAGGTGCCATCTAATTATTTATATTACCTTCAACCGGCGTAAAATATTAATAAGCATCGATAATCTCCCTGTCGCATGAGTATCCATTAGAAGCTTATACTCTTCGCTAGGAAGCTCGGAGAGACACATAAACTGTTTGCATTTCTTCATCATATCATCAGCTTTCTGAGTAGATCCAACAACTTGTAAAAATAGTTCAAGTGGCATGGCTCTAAAAGCATCTTCAAGTGCAAACAAATTCTCAAATTTCTGATCATGTATAGAAGAAAAGGCACTGTCCAAGCCAGGCAAAGAACTAAAATAGTCCCATAGGAAGCAGTGTAGAAGCTTGACACGAACCATCTTTGCAAGCACAACCGCTTTGGCTCGCGTAGCTCCTGTTTTGCTAGCTCTTGCATCCAAATCCACGTTAGTTTGACCTCTCTGAACGTCATTCAATACAGGAATTGGCTTGTTGCTTTTCCTCTTCGATAGTCTCTGGCTACGGAATCCTAATTCGAAAGACCTAATCTTATCATGAATTTCACCACCTACTTCTTGAGTCAATCCTTGCACAGATGGATGCAAGACTATCACAGAACAACGATTACGACCACAATCAGTTACATTTGGAACACGAATGCCAATGCATTTGCAGAGTCCTTTTTCTTGAAGCCTGTTTAGAATTCTGTCAATGGTTTTCTTATCCACCTTGGGGATCCTGTCCTTCTCAAGACTTAGAAGCCATTTATAGAGCTCCGCTCTCAAAACAAACTTCTCCTCCTTTAGCCAAGAAAGAAGAAACAAATAGTCAGTCAGAAAGAAAAAAAAAGGAGACAAAATGTATGGCATGCAACGTGAGTAAAAAGAACAGTAAGTACATTTAAGCGCTCAAGTATCCTCTGCTCTCTCAGAGAGTTTTCAATAGTAGCATGAGGTTGCTGCACTTTTGATTTAGCCGACTTCGGTTGAACTGGATGGTTCATATCTGAAAAAGCCAAATCAGTGGACTCTTTCGCAGCATCAATAACCTTATCACCAATCTCATGGAATGATTCTTGTAAGTTACGACGTGTAAGAATTTTTCTTCTTTTGGCATTAGATGGGGAACAACCAAGAAGTCCTGAATTCTTTTCAGAATCAATTAAACTTGCAGGTGTAGATAAGTCAGCATCTGAAACTGCAATACGATCGGTAGAGGCCTTAGCCAATCCACTAGTATCATGAGGTGTGCTACAATCATTATGTACCCTGCTAATGTTTTCAGCTTTATCAGGAAACGGTTTAGAAGACTTGGATGCAACATGACGAGAAGTCCAGACTCGAAATACTCTAGTCTTCTTGTGGCATTCTTCCCGTAAATGCATCCCGACTCTTGAACAAAAACTACAAAGCCGAGGATAAATCTTCTTCCTATCAATTCCGAGTTTTTCGCATACCTGGTAAAAATAGTAATTTAAATACACATTGCACCATCCCAGTTTTTAAAGTAAGAAACTTTATCCATCAAATGAATACCTCCATAACAACCAAGCCTTTAGACCCTTCAGCATCAACCATATCATAAATTTGATTATCTATTGGAAGCTCCAAAATCTGTTCTGTTTTTTGGATACTTCTCCCGAATTTAAGAAGTTGCTTTTTCCCAGAGTAGTTAAACTCTTTTTCTGAGAATCTTTTTAACAAACGGAGGCATCTTTCAAGCTACAAAAATGGAAAAACAGTTTTATATCCAAACAAAACAGAACAGAAATGGTAAGTAAAAGCAACAGACCAAAATATGTAGTGAAATGTATTGGCATAAGATGCAGATTATATAGTTCACCTTATTGTTCACCATAGCATCAAACTCCTCTACTAATTGAGCGTCTATCAACCGGCGACAAACCTGATGTTTTCCCACAAGAAGATTCATTCAGTATATTATAGTTGAACATGAATAAAGCTTACAAGAAGACAAGAAAAAGATAAATTACACTTCTCCAAGCTCTATGCTTTGTATGTGATCTCATATAACCAAGGTCTTGCTTAATATCCGAGATGACTAAAACCTGCATAACAAGAAAATGAGTATACAACTAGCAAGATCCAGCTTTATAAAAGAAACAAATACTTCAAATTTACTAACTTTCTTGTTAGCTTCTTCGAGCTTATCACAAACTGCCTGCATTGCTGGCAAAAAATCTTTAACGAGCGTGTCATCTTTTACACTCTCAGAAACTAGACTATCTCCAACAGCAGTAGTAGCCTTATGCTCCAACACAGAGTCCTCTTTGCAAATCTCAACCCTCTGCTGTGAACCCAAAGGCTTGGCATAACGAGTCAAGTATATCATGTTGGTAGTAATACACGAAGTCGCTTTGGAATCAACTTCTTTAGTTCTCACAATTGCTGGTTGCCTAACAATCAAACCTTTAGATTCAAGCTGCTTCACACTATAGAAGAAGTTTCTACCTTCAATACCAAACTCTTTAGCAAGCAGACTCTGTGTATCTCCATTATCACTACATCACAACATATACTGTTAAATCACAACTCTTAATATAGTAACTAGATGGAAGAAAAAAACATGAATTTGGCTTACCGAGCAACAGCCAAGCGTTCGAGAACGCGACGCTGAATCGCGGGAATAGTCGTGTTATTGGCTTCGTACAAGCCAACGAAGTTAGCTCGGAGCTTCTCATTAGCGATGATTCTCAAATCGAGTCTCAGAGCATCTTCAAGCTGCTGAATTTTAGTATCTGATGATCCGTACAGAGTTTTCTTCGCCTTGAATTGGAGCTGAGGGATCGTGAGAAGGTTTCTCCAGACATGTGCTTTGACGGAAGAAGAGAGAGAAGAGAGACGTGACCATAGAGAGACGAGAGGGATCCCTGTGTTTCCTTGACAACAGATCTCATCAAGTGCGGTGAATACAATCGAATCCATATCTCCGGTTAGGGTTAGGTCAACGGAAAATTATTAAAGTCGGCGAGTTAGTTAGTCGGCGATAGGGAAATTCAAAAATCTCTCGGCGGAGGGGTTTTGGGAATTTGATTTATACAAGTGGGGATTCAGTTAGACGATCATGGCGGGATCAGAGGAAGAAAGAGAGAAAGATGTTCTCGAGTTCTTGGTGACGGGTTCGATTCCTCGCAATGACGAAGAGTTAAATAGTTATGAGGTAATTACTAATTAGGGTATTTTAGGGCCACAAGATTTGGTATAGTGCTATTTGTTTTTTTTTTTTTTGGTTATTTTCTATCTACTTTTTTTACAATATTAATTAACATGATTACTTAATTAATTTTCTTCAGAATTTTTGTTAAATTGAAATTTAAAAATATATAAAAATCATAATTTAGAATTCAGTTTGACTGATTTTTTATTTTCATATTATTATTTACTTTCTGATTCATTTTCCATTTTCTTCCCGTCATTAATTTTTATTTATGTTATTATATTATAAAATTTTCTGAAATGTTTCTTAATTATAACCTTTTTATTTTGGATGGTCTAAATTCATTTTGAATATGAAATGTTATTATATTACACTTTTATTTTAGAAGGTCCATATAAATTAAAAATCTATGTTAATATCGATTTGCGGGGTAAACCAGAACTCATTTTTGTTTTTGGACAAAACTCATTTTTGTTTTTTTTTTAATTTTTTATAAAAAGGTAATTTAAAAAAAAAATCTGACCAATAGACCCCCATTTAGAAATGATCATTAATAGGCATGGTCACTAGTAAACAAAATCATTAATAAACATAGTCATCTATTTGTCTATAATCAAAATGGATAATGCTGGTCGGATCAAAATGAACGTAGATAGCCAATTTTTACAGCTCTATAAATGGTATTTTTTAGATGATTAAAAGAGAAAAATGTTATTATCATAATCTCAAAGAAGAATCTCGACTTTCAATGGTAGTTAAGCAAAAAAAAACTTTGGTAAGAAGGCTCAAAAAGAAAGGAGGAAAGAGAGGTCTTGTGTATCTTTTGTTTTGGTTCTTATTTGAAAGTGTTATCACTTAGAGCTATGCATCTTTTGTTTTGGATCTTTTTTGGTTCATCTAGTGTATACAACTTGTGTTGTAAACCTTTTGACCTAAATGCATATACTATTGTTAAATGTATTGAACTCAAAAATGAATGAAACTTGTTTTAATACAACTTAGAAACAAAATAAACACTAAACAGGTTATGAAACAAGCCGAACCGCATGTCCCGAAACGAACCAAAGTTAAACCGATTAGACCGGTCCGGTTTAAATAAAATCTAAAGATTCGTCTGTCTTGTTCTTCAACTTGTTCCTTGTTTCTTGTCTCTTGAGTTCCTCACTTCTTGGTTCTACACTCATGTCTGTATCCAAATCTATCTGGTAAATCAAAATCATCACGTCTTCTGTTTCAATAATTTCACAATCCCTAGTTTCAATTCCATCCCCAATTCGCACATCCTTACAACAATCCCTAAATCTCTCTCTCTCTCTCTCTCTTTCTTTCTCTGCGTAACGTATCAATTTGCTGTAAGTTCTGATGGACCTTGTTCGTTTGAGAGAATTAGGTTCACAGAGAAGAAAGAAATGGCTGATTCTATTGACTGTGTTCGGTGTTTCGGGTTACGGAGTCTACAAGGTTTACAATTCTCAATACATCGCGAAGAAGACGAAGCGTCTTATGAAACTCTTCTCAGGCATCGTTTCTTTCGCCGAACTCGTTATCGATTCGGCGGAGACGATAAGTATCGTTTCTAAAGATTTAAAGCAGTTTCTAGATTCTGATTCTGACGAAATCCCCAATAGTTTGAAACAGCTCTCCAAGATTACGAAATCGAAAGAGTTCACTGATTCATTAGCTAGGGTTTCTGAAGCAGTAGCGATTGGGGTTTTCCGCGGGTATAATTCGGTTCAGGAATCGGAAAACGTCGTAAAGGAATTGGATTCGAGTTTAGTTGATAGAGTATTCTCAGAGGAAGGAGCTGGTTTTGTTTCTGTTGTTGTTGGTAGCTTTGCTAAGAATCTTGTTCTTGGATTTTACTCTAATGAGATTGAGATTGGGAGTGATGTTGATGATTGTTCAAAACCTAGATGGATGAGTTTGGTTAGTGATGATAAGTGTAGAGAGCTTTTAGCTGATTGTATTGAGAGGTTCACTAGCTCGGCGGTGTCGGTGTATATAGAGAAGACTGTTGGGATCAATACTTATGATCAGATATTCTCTGGTTTGACGAATCCGAAGCATCGAGATAGCGCGAGAGATGTTCTTGTTTCGGTTTGTAATGGAGCTCTTGAGACTTTCATGAGAACATCTCACGATGTCTTCACATCTTCAGGGGAGAAAACTGATTCCGGAAACTCTTTCAGGAAGTCGAGTTATCGAGAAAGTTATCGAGAAAGTTCTGGAAACGGATGGGCAGAGGCGCTTTCGACTACATTAGCAGTGCCGAGCAATAGGAAGTTTATGTTTGATGTTACAGGAAGAGTGACGCTCGAGACGATGAGATCAGTTCTTGAATTTGTTATCTTGAAGACATCAGAAAGTTTTAAGAGGGGATTGGATGTGATTCATGAAGAAGTTACAGAGAGAGGACGTCAAGTTGTTGGATACGTTGGTGCCAAATCTTCTGTGATAATCACTGTTTGCATAGCGGTTTACCTTCACATCTTCAGCCGCATTGTTCGAGGCGGTCCTGTTTGCTTAAGCCAGCGTTTCTAGTTCTCGGATCAATCTTTTAGCTCGTTAGAGTTTGTTAGATCTTCAGATACCTCATTCTATTGGTTATAGCTGAAGCTGAATAACGTAGTCTTAGCAGTGTGCCCACATATTGATCCTTATTTATATAGAGGATTCTTGAGATACAAATTAGCCAAGTTATGTTAGAAATCACCATTTCTTCCGCTTGATTAAATCCACCAATGACTAGTAGCGTAATAATTAACAAATTCAATGTAAGTAACTCTTATTACTGTCGTGAAGAGTGTGAAGAAACAGGCGTTAGGAGTGTGTGTGACACAAGAGTTGTTTTAAAGAGCAACATAGATAAACCGAGGAGCAATGTGAATATCCGTAATATCGAAGTGTTGATGTGACATTGGAGTCTTATTGAGAAGATCTACGAAGAGTAAAAAGTGTTAAATATGCCGAGATGGTGACACAACAGATGTCTAGAATACTTTTATTCCATCAGACAAGATTGCGAGATACTATGTTGGTTTTATATATCTGGAAACTTCAATCGTTAGTCTTAGAGAAGACGATAATGCAACAATGTTGTAAGATGATAATCAAACATATAATGCTTGATATTGTTCTAGAAAATTTAATGTCATGTTCCAAGTTATCTGCTTTCATTTTTACAATGCGATCACTCTTCAAGTTAATTAATAAAGTTTATTGCGTTAAAATAAAAAATCGCAGTCACTGTCTAACGCAATGTAAAATTGTAAACCAAAAAAAAAAAAAAATTGAATGATAATGTAAATTTCACAGTAGCAAATCGGTAAGTTAATTGAGGTTTCCCCGCTCCGATAGACGACGCAACAGGCCAAGCTTTTACCAACGCCTAAACCAAATCAGATCGGCGTTTTATGTTCCCTTCTCTTTCTTCTCTCTCTCGCATCGATTTCAGCAAAATTTAGAAACGAACCAGTCACACAGAGAGAGACACCAAAAGAAGAAGAACAAAAAAACCCTACTCGATCACGAGATCGTCGCAACGTTTCACGTATATAGACCGGCGAATAAATTTAGCAGAATCATCGGGAAGGTAGAAAATGCTCAACGATGGTGAAGAGACTCCTTCTAGGTAAAACAAGTCGAGATCACACAATTTTCAGATTCTTTTGTGTTTCTATGAGTAGTTTCGGTGTGAACTGAGCAATTATTGCTCAAAATTGAAGTGATTTGACCATGAAATTGCTTATTCGTATGCTAAGATTTTGGATTAGTTTAAGCATTTTATATTTGATTGGATCTTCTATATGTATTCCAGTTTAGAATCTGGGTATGTTTGTTTGGATGGTTTGAAGTTAATTTTTGTTGTTTCTCAGGCATGAGATTCTTAGTATGGTTAAGAAGCATTCGAAGTCATTAGGACAGACGTCTCCTGATGAGGCAGATGCGTCTGATGTAGAAATGGACTCTAATTTCTGGCATGGTGTATTTGATGTGTACTTCATTCGTTGCATGGAGTCGAGGAGGCGGCAAGACGATGATCTTCTATTTTTTGTGAGGAAATTGGTATGTAAGCTTGCACCTTTTTCTCTGAATTGAAAAGTTGGAACATCAAATTATCTTGGTTGTTAAAGTTACTAAGTAAATCTGTTACTTTTTCCAGAGCTGTAAGTCATATGGTTTGACTGAAAATGAAGATGCACCAGCTCCTTACTTTGTGCGCAGGTGGGCACCTAAGGTAAAAAAAAACTGTAGGAAATGATACATATACATATTCCACTTAAGGCTTGGTTTTGTAGATAAAACATTTAAACTGCAAAGCAGACATTGTAATGGATATAACATGGTAACGGAAATTTTGATTTTACTTCTGCAGCATCTTTTTTCTTCTTTATTCAGGTGAGAACACTTTAAGCTACAGTACTACCAGTGTTTTCTGAATGGATTGTTTTTTGCTGGCTTACATGCCAAAGCTTTTCATGGTCTATCATATTTTTTTTTATCTGGGAACTAGACCCCTTGACGGTTCAAAGTATCCATTTGTTTGTGGTGTGGCGCTTTGTATCCATCGTCTATAAACACATGGTAATGGATTTTTCCTCTATTTTGAAGCAGTTGGATGAGCTTCTTGGTGAAAGCCTGGCTGAAGTTGATTGGAGGAAATCATTTTATTTGAACATGATTGCCCATACATCATTCACTGTTACGGTGGCGATTTGCAGGTAACAACTTCACTTTGTGATTAGCAGCATTATTTACTGATTGCAAGTCGGTCTAATCTACTTTAATAAACAATTCTTGTTCTGTTTTTGCTGTTAGCTAATATTTATATCCACCTTTCCTGTTTTGGGTTCAAACACATCTTATTGCATCAAGCATTACTTCCTTCTAGCTATTTATTAGGTTGGAATCTCAGATATCATCTTCTTTGTTTCAGTGATTAGGCTTGGAGTTATTTTGTGACATGTTCTGTGGTCTATATTCTACTTATTATATGGTTTTTTGTCTTTCCATTTTACTGCATCATGGTAACTTTAAACTGCTCGTGTTTTTAGTAACGAGGCCCTTAAGACGTACCAAGGAAGTAAAGACACAAAACTCTCTCCTATATACAAGGTTAGAGATCCTAAGAGTTTTGGATAATATTACTCTCGACTTTTCAGTTCTTTTTTAATCTTTTCATATGAATAAGAAACTGAAGCCATAGAGTAGTTATATACTTGGCTGTTCAAAGAATATTAGTCCAGATTTGTTTTTATCAAACCTATTAAGATGAGAGTAAGGAAACAGAATATGAAATCAGTTTTGCTTTTAATAAGGAGAGGACATTTCACAGGAATGGGACCAAACATAAACATCAAGTTTTTTTTATATTCTGTAAGCCAATGATGATCATATTCTCTAATTTTACATTCATATCATGCAGGTTGTAAAAACTGTGTATGCATCACCTAGTCGCGTTAATTTTCATCTGGACTCAAAGAAGGCAAGTATAATCCCTTTTCTCGTAGCAGTGATTGTCATTTTGGACTTTGTGTTTTATGTTTCCATTGTTGTGTACCTAGGAAGTGGAAACAACACCTGCCTACCCAGAAATCTGTTTTGCTGTAGATGATTTTGACTCAACCTTTGATGCTGTGGTAACATATTTTCTTCTCCCTTTCTCTGTATTTTCCTTCCAATTATTAAATTATGTGGTCCTTTCGTTTGAAGAAACTCTAGACCTGAACGGCTTCTATGGACATGTGACATTTTGTTTGTAATAAAATCGGCTTTGGAAAAATCGTTTTTAGTTGAGGAAATCTGCATGAACTCTCCTTTGCCTCTGAGGTGAAGAGAAATGCATTCTTAGTTTCCCCTTAACTGGATAGTAAACTCTTCTGTTATTAGTATGATACATTAGTTGGCTTTTGGTATATATTTCAGATATTTCAACTACCTTTTGCGCTGCTTGAATTCCTTATTTGAGTTTAATGCTTGCATTTAAATTATCGTCTTCAGAGGGTTTGCCAGTCTTCATCTTTAGTTTTTTGAAGGCACAGAGGAGTTTGGGTTTATGGTTCAGAATATAAGTCGTATAGTTAGGTTCATGCATGGAAATTGCCCAAAGTTTCTTTTCCCCAATCTTGTTCATTGACTTTTTCATTGATGCTTGCAGGTTCTGACTGAAAAAGATCATTGCTATTGCGTACTTCTTAATTCCCATGATGGGGCAGCATTTCCAAGTGCAAATGTTAAAGATTCCAGTGATTCTAACACAAATACTGAACCCAGAAGTGTGAAAGATCCTAAGGTCTAGCTGTTTCCTATCTTTGTTTCCCTATTGTTCAGCAGTTGCCAGTCATATTCCAATTTTCTTTTGCTACTTTCTATGAGTTTTGATAAGATTCTTAATATGTGGTCTTGATTAACAACTGGTAACGTTAACCTTTCTTTTAAGTAGGTATTGATCTCTTTGCTAGCATAACATTTATTTTGGCTGAAAGTTTGACTCTTACTTTTCATAAAGATGACTTCCATCTTGAGTTCTATTATCTCTATGGTGCACATTATACTGTGACACCTTCTTTCCATCTCAAGGGATTTTTGTGCGAGTCTTATAGTGATAAGTATTCTAGTCAAGCTTCTGGGTTGAACATTCTTCCAACTGAATCCTTTTAAAAGTACTGGAATATTCTGTGTCTGTGGCCAGTTTTGAACGAATTCTCTGTCCATATTAGGTTAATTTGGATCTAAATTATAGTTGAAGACCAGCTGTTCTGTGCAAGAAGATTATTGGTATATTTAATGGATTAACTATAAGTATGATTTGGGGTTTTTGGAAAGATTTATTATATTTAAGCACCTTTGGTTTGCAAAAGGCCTATAGACACATTACATGGTACATGCTAATGAGAAAAGAGAATTGACATGCTGGAGCTTTTGGTTGCAGGTTACCCTGTTTTCTGGGTTTGTCAGCTATCAAATGGTCCGAGAAGCCTATGAAGGTAACTATACAGTTTTTTTTTTTTTTTTTAATGTTTTATGCATTGTAGGATCTAATTCAGTTTTCTCGCAAAGTTTGTAGTCATGGTCCTGATACGCTGTTTCCCTGTTTATTTGCATTTGTCCTCTCAGTGCTTAGGACTATCATTGTTGGTCTCGGTCTTTTATATTTTCCCAAGACATTTAATCAAGGGTTCTTGAAAGTATGTCATGCAACCAGTCAGGACCTAATGTTAATGCTTTGCTCATTTGGTGGAATTCATTGCTGAGCCAAAGTAATATGGTTCATTTATAGGTCAAGTTGATAGGAAGCAGTACTCAGCCTCAAGATTGCTGAACTACATAATTAACTTTTGTAGACGTGAAAGTTTTGAGATATTAAGTGCTAAAAGACAAGGAAGCTAACACATTTACTAGTTGTCTTTTCTGTATGAGCTATATGGCTTTTGTTGATTTGGGCCAACTTATTTTTCACGCTCTCTCCTTAATTTTTCTGTCATCTTTATCCTTTATCACAGGGGGGAGGAATCGATTCGGAAGCCTTCTTTCACTGGGTCATAACACAGGAAAAGCAGACCGACTTTATATGAGAGGTCCAGGAGGACGTGGAGAAGTTGAAGTAGCGGTTTCTGGCGTTATAGGTACTATTACTTTTTTTATATTTGTATGGCTGCACATAATCTGAGCTCTGTGTCTCCCTGTTAGTTTTTCCTCTATTCTGAGTTCTAAGCAGTAGGTAATGTTGCATGGAAGATAAAAAAAACAAAAAAAAGAAGCATACACATTTTAATTCCCGATCCAAAACTTAGACTGGTCATCAAATGTTTTAGAACTGTTCATTGTCCTCCATTGTCTTAAGAGAGTAGACAGGAAAAAGTTGTGTAGGAGATCTGTTGAAATGTATATTGAAAACGTAGTGTGCTTTAAGAGATGATTGTATAGAATTGATTTTCTCAGATCAGAGCCAAGTAGTTTTAGGTCCTGTTTCACCAATGTCTTCAAAGAAGAGCATCGATCTCGGCTCCATTTTCCGTAAAGCAGCATCTGTTGCATCTGTCGCAGCTAAACATGCAATAGCAGCTGCTACCGCCTCTTACGATGAAGACGAGATGTTCCCTCTTAAATGCTGCTTAATGTCCATCTCATTGCCATGGGATACTATTGCTCATGATCTTTTATTCAAGGTGATTTCTCTTTAGCCATACCGGTCATCAACAATTGAAAATCTAGTGGAACTTTTCGATATATCGTCTGTTTTTCTGATCGATCCCGCGTATTGTGTTTATTCAGGCATCTGCACCGGTAAACATGGAGTAGATCACTCTCTGGGATGAAGCGTAGGAAATAGAAGTTGTGTGTGTTGTCTGTTCAAGTGTTTGTTCGTTGATTGAATATTCCTTTTGTTCTGTTTACATGACTCTGTGGATTACCATAACCACTGTTTTTACATCTAGCAATAAAAATGAAAGTAAAGTTGTGAATTTGCAATCATCAACTCTGTAGATTTCAAGCTACTCTTCTTCTAGTGTATTGTAGACTCACACTCTACTTAACACTTATGTGCGTGCCTGTCTCGTTCCATCACTTCGGGTTTGGCTTAGTTTGGTTTATAAAGTAGAACTGAACTTTATCACTTCGGTTCGGTTGGATAAATATTAATTCGACTTCAGTTCGGTTGTGGATAAATAAGTACAAGTTTATAAATGTATGTTTCCGCTTAACTTTATTAACATTCTTAATAAATTTTGGTATACTTTGGTTCACAAAATTTAGACTCAATTCGAATATTAAATAGAAATTAGAAATTTCTATACCGTTTAGGTTATAATTTTTTTTTTAGTTTCGTTTTGATTTTTGGATAAAACAAATATATAATTAATTATTATTTTACAATATAAATTATATTTTCTATAAAAATTTTTTTACTGAATTCCGGTTAAATTGTCACCATTGTATAATCGTTTATGTAACAGTTTCATAATTTGCAATAATTCAAAACGATAAAGAGAAAAATAAACTGCGGTTGAATTGGTCTGGTTCACAAAGATAAAAAAAAGCTAAAAAGGTATATTGTTTGGGTTATAAAACTTTGGTTCGGTTCTGATTAAAGTATATTGGCACAATTTGATTTGGTTTTCACATCCATCCCTATAAGCTACATATGCCTTGCATATAACATATGGTTAGAGATAGAGACTTATGAGTAAAATACATGTGAAATAAAACAGCTTTATGCCAACTTTTGTTGGACTTTACTTGAGAATGTGGAATTCTAAATGAACAAACAAAAATTATGGGGAACCAAATAGTGAAGAAGCACATGAATCCAACTCTCTGGTGGTATACATTTCTTAATTAGATGACAAAAACTCTGTTTAAGGTTAAACTAATGTTCCTACCTTTATAACAAAAGAAATGAATTGTGAAAAATATATGAGATTGGTTGTTAGACATTTCCTGATTAGGTAGATGACAAAAACTTTGTGTCTGAGGTAGTGAGGTTAAACTAGTGTTTCCATTTATATAACAAAAAGAATTAGGTGAATTAATATATAGAGTCGGTTAGAGAAGTTGAGAAAATGTGAATGCATGTTTGAGTCCACTAACAAAAGCTACAAAGTCACAAACAGTGGAATTTGGATTTTCTTGAAACGTGATTACAAAGGTCAAAAATCAAAATATAAGAATAGTATGTTCTTTAACATCCTTTACTCTAGTGATAATTGTAGGAAAAGAAAACAAGATTGGTTTGGTGCCCACTATATATTTTTTTTGATTAAAAAGACTACTTAATATAACCTCTATAAATTATATTCGATAAACTAATATTTCGATAAATCAATATTTCTTTTTTTCGAATTAGTTTTTCGGATCACATGGATAAATTAATAAATTAATAATGTAATTATTCATAGCATTATTAATTTGTAGAAATTTTACTGTAAATAGGCAAAATTGGTTATTATACTCTTATGGTAAAGTATCCAATATATCCTAGTATTATATATATAACAGATAAATGTTCTCTCGAACATGTAAATATATATATATATGAAAATATTAATATATATGTATATTGATCTAAAATACCAAATATATACCTGGCCTAGTTTGTTTTACACAATTATTTCGATTCAAATTTAATTTATACACAAACACACACTAAAAAGAGAATGCAGCTGTAGTTTCACTTGTATTGTTTACTTTATCTTACTAAAAAGATAAGAAAAAAATCCAAACACATAGAAAAATAAACTAAGACGACGTAATATATGCTTTTTTGTTAGATTCTTCGCCATTAAGCTAAGCTCTCATCTTCTTCTTCTTCTTCTTATCAAGACCCACACACCATTTTCTCCCCTTTAAGTCTCAACTTATAGAAGCTGTAATTAAACTCCAAATCTTCAGTCTTTCTATTTGGTTTTTCTTGTCAACTACAAGATTGAGTACTCGTAACTAGCAATGGAAAGACCTTACTAGTAGATATATAAAGTGTGTGCATGTGTCCTCTTTTTCTCACATTTATAAGAAGTATGTAAAAAACATTATGATTTTTCTTGGTTTAACCTACTTATAGTAACCCACTTATTCAAAATCATTGTACTTATAATTTTTACACAAAATTGGTCTCATAAGTCATAACTAAAACATATTTTGAGTCCCCAAAACCAAGCTTCATGTGCTTGTGCCTAAGACCGGTCATGATAGTGACACAATAACACTTAACTTACAAATTCTAGTCATTCACTATTTTAGTTATGATCAGAAAGAAAAAAAATGTCTTAGCTAGAGAGAAATAATTAGAATTTTGTATACTTAACAAGTTTTTCTTTTGACCCTCTATACATATAGTATTCTACCTGTTATATTATTTCTTACTGATATTTAAATACACACACACACACACAAATACACTCAAAGATCATCACATGTACACTAATCTTATAGAGACAATGAGAAATTAATACACAATCTTTGTAGTTAAAAAGTAGTGCTGATCAGAAAGTGATGAAAAGTTTGTAATTATAAAAAAAAAAAAAGCAGAATCCAAACAAAAGGTATAAAAGGATAAAAAAAACAAAAGTTAAAATAATATAGTAATAATGTTATCCAAGGCACTAATGGACAAACATTCTAATTAATCTCTTAGATTGACTCTGATTATGACATTTTTAATATACTTGGCACTTTTTAATTGGAGTAATATGAGTCCCACATGTTCTTCCATGCACATGTCTCTCTATAAATACCACATCCATGTCTCATTTGAGTCTTCCCCGTTCCCTCTCGCTTCTATTTCAACACATATAAATTACACCAACAAAACCGGTTTAATTCTAAACCGGAGGTTCTCTTCCACTCAAGGCAATGTTTTCTACCAGTATGGAGCCGGTTCATATATGCTTTGATGATGCTATGATAACCGGAGATGAACTCAATGATATATTGGCGTTTCTTCAATCAGACGAGTCGGACAATCCAAGCGAGGTGGTACCGGTTGATGAGAAGAAGAGAAGAAGGACGATATCGAACCGGGAATCGGCTAAGAGATCGAGGTTGAAGAAGAAGAAACGTTTTGAAGAGTTGACAGAAGAAGTGAACAGGCTGAACCTAAGGAATCAGGAGCTTAAAAACCGGTTAGCTAATGTGGTTAGTTGTGGTAATGAAATATCTAATGAAAATAACCGGTTAAAAACCGAATCGGTTTGCCTAGAAATTAGGCTTTTAGAGTTGTACCGGTTTTTAGTGGCTATTCAATCGCCAATCTCAACGACAGTAACTTATATCACAGAGCTTGAGATTTAAGTTTGGGATAACAAATAAAACAAGAAACGATGCCAAGTAACTTTTTGAGCATTTTTGTAAAGGTCAAACGATTTTAATCAAGAGTTTTCATATTTTGGTCTAAAGATACATATGTCTTATGTGTATGTGTTTGTAAATATTATGTGTACGTATATGGATATAAAATTTCGTGAAAGTTGATTTCCCCTAGCTAACATAAACACAATTATATTCTATATATATCGTTTGATCGAGATCTATATACGAGACGTTTTGCACCGAGACAAAGACTGGTTCATCGATCAAACTGAATCAAAATTTATTTACGTTGCTTAGTTTTGGTTTTGAGGTGAGAGTATCCTTAGTACTTTTAAATTTCACTTCAGTACTTCTACTCGAGGGGAAGACAACGTTATGAACTAGTTTATGGCATTTAACCATCTTACTATTCTCTTCGCATGCTCTATCGCTTTATGTAAAGAGCTCATCGCACTATTTGGTAAGGACAAACTGGTCGTGAACGAAGTAGCAAACAACATAAATTATTTAGCTGTCTCATTTTTCTATGACCTTGTGCACGCTCACGCGTCTAAACATGAAATATTAAGTCTTATCGTTATCGTAAAATATTGGACGTATCTCCTGAAATAGTTATGAGTTAATTAGTGTGGCAATGATTTTATTTTAATTTTGATAAAGAAAATGTTCCGTCAGGTTAAATGATAAATAATTATTGGTAGGGTGCAATATATGTCGGGGTTAGAAGAAAAATCTTGGACCAAATCACACAAAGGGAAATGTGGGGCTTTTGTTTGTGTGGCTAATTAAGTAACATGATCATATACATGAAAAAGATGCATGCATGCATGGTGCATGGACCTAAAAACAAATTTATTAAAGGGTGGCTCTTTTTTTTCTTTTCTTTTTTGTAAAATTTAACAAAGTTGTAAATATGTAAAATATTGTTTGCATGTTATTGTGTAATTGATCGTACGCATCGCAAATCACAACTTTGGTTTAGAACAAGGAACATAAGTTAATAAACTATACGTAGGTAAGATAACAATAACTAAAGAAGACTTTCAAATTAAATAAGTACTCTATAAAAGGAAACTTCATAGAAAATATCAAGATAAATCATATTTCCAAGAATTGTACTGCAGCCTACCAACGTAAAAGATTAACACAAAGAGGAATAAGGTAGAGAGTCACACTGTGTCTGGTGAAGGCAAAAAGAGGTAATGGGTGATGGGATCTTTCTCGGTGGAAATCGTATAAAGGTCTCTTCAATTGAACTCAAATCTATTTTTGTCACTTTTATTCGGCCGACATATCTTCGCACAACTTCTACATAATTTTTTTGTGCTTTTAAAAACCCTAAACAAGTATATTTTCTAGATATTTAAGATGTCGGCTGTATAAAGATAAAAAAAAAAATTTGACATGTAAAAAAGACTCATACATTTCTCTTAGATATTTACATTATGCATATATGGAGTATGTCGATTCGTAAGCGAAAAAAGTGCATCTTTTTAACATTTAAATAACCCATAAACCTCTCGATTTCACTTAGGTACATATATATTAAAAGTTATATATATTTTCGGCCTTGAGGGACATGTGGTTATTTAATTAGAACATAGATTACGCTATACATGCATGTCTATATATTTCTTTCGTAAAATATTACTACCAAGACTTCTTCACATACTAAGTCTTTAGTAAAAAACAGTTAGTTTTCCAAACAAAATGAAGGTGTGAGCTTGGTAGAATGAGCTCATACCGTACGTAAGATTTGGCTTGTGAGATTTCATTCACAAGAAAGTTCATGGATATGTCCGAAGAGTCGCCCTCATGACACGTGGAAGGAGTATGTTTTTGAGAGTTTGGAGTTCAAAATTGTTGATGAAGTTCCAGTTTTGGAACTCATGTTAAAGGTTTTTAGTGGTAAGAGACAAATGTTATTTGGCTCATCATCTCACAGTTGCCTTTCTTTTCCAAAAAGAACATTGAAATTGTAATCGTTTCATCTAACTCCTTTAGCTTCTATGTTTTGGTGGAGTGGATGGACCGAAATTCTTGATGTTATTTATGCTTCTTTGTTTTTAATTTTTTGCCATAGGACCATTTGTCATAGTTTTATAATCTTGGATTGTAACCTAAATTGTTTTTCATTTTATTGAAATATTTAAGCAAAAAGAATTTAAAAAAAAATTGAAGGTGATAAAATGGTATAATTAAAACCAAATTGACAGTCATAAGCCAAACAGTTTTTAGTTATATATTTGGCTAAAAAAAAATAGACCTAAATAATTACTTTCTTTATTATGAAACCACCAAAATTAACCTGAACCGAAACTAAAATCAACAGATGTTCAAATAGTTTCTGTCTCTTCTCAATAATATTTCATGTATAATAATAAATCGGACTGTTTTCTAATTATGTTCACTGTTGAAATTTTTGTTTTGGTAGAAAAGTTATTTAGCTTTCATATATTGCTAATGCTGTCAGATCCTATGGTGGTTACATGACAAGGCTGTTGTTAAAAATCTGACCTTCGACCACTAAGGTTTAAATTAGGACAAAACAAAAGTTAAGGTTGTGACTTAAACGACTGACCTGACCTCATTAACGAATTCAACTAATTAGAAGAAAAGGCACAAGATATTTACATTTTAACATCACATATCGCCAGGGCGGGGGTCATTAGTTTGGTGGACTATGTGCCAAGATTATCAAATAGTTATGATTTAAATCATACTTTTCTAAACAAGACTACTTTGTAAAAAGGCCCTATAATATTTGTGACTTTTTTCTTTCCCTGACCATAGAGATTATTAATTGAAAACTCTTAAAACGAAGAAGATAAAGAAGGATAGTAATTAGCAGTAGAGTTCAAAAGCAAATCCTCAAAATCATACCTCTCTTGCAAATTTGCAATACAAAGACAAACCATAAGGCCTTTGCATTATTGAAGTCCAAAATGCTCAAACGTAACTAAATCTACTAAACCATCAGTATATCATAGATATGATCACATCGTGCCTCCTAGTTTATCTCCCTCAACATGAAGCCTCCTGGTTTGTCTCGACCCTCAACAGTTTTCGTCTCTCATTACTAGGGAAATAGAACAATCAACAATCCCATGTGGATCCATGCTAAAAGGGTAATGACCAATGCATGGATGGTGCCTATTCCTACACGTTTGTGGAAAAAGAAAATGGGACAAGCTAAAGGTTGCCCTTGCAATATTTCATTGTGACCATGATATGAAATATAACAAATATTTGCAAAAAAGCTAAAGTGGACTTTGTGCATTTCTATACATATGTGATATGTCAAGAACCGTCTCTGCGTATCGAATGTTATACATATTTCGGCACACTTAAAATTTATATGTTTACTGTTAATGGGAGATGGATTTTTAGAATTTAATGTCATCGATTTATGAATGCTCAAGTTTTTTTTTAATAAAACTCATAAATATTGATTTCATGACTTATTACACAGATTTTTTTTATTGAGAGCTTTATTTGTTCATATTAATTTTGTTATTTTATTTTTGAATGTGATGATAATGTCTATTTGTATTAAAAAAATATAAATTTTAAAATGGAAAAATTTCATCATCTAGACAAAATATAAGCAACCACATCACCACATCTAAATAATTTAATGTATCAATATTTAGGAATTGACATAAGTTATGTGACCAACGTTGGTTTTATATTATGTTATGTTGTGTTAGTTCTTTTTAAAGCCAACAATTCATGACTTTAAATTTTTCTAAAATCACAATATGCTATTTTGAAGTAAAATTCGTTATTACAACTTTTATTTTTCTTTTTCAAATTGTATGTTTTCGTATACACCCATTTTCTTAATTCTTTAGGAACTAATAAAATAAAACGTATTGGTTTTGTTCACAGAGATTGGAGGAAATTATGTGCGGATTGAAGTTCTCACCCAAAACTACTTGCAAATGCTTTTATTTCTTACCTTTTTTATGATTTAAGAGCACATGTCTATAGGAATAGGCACATGTCTATACTTTTTTTGCCCAAAAAAAAAAGAGCACATGTTTCATAGTTGTATACCATGTTGATCTCAACATTGACATATAAATAAGTGAAAAGGTAGTTAAGCACATAAACCAAAAAATTTCCTCATATGTATTTTGATAATGATTGTGGTAGTGTAGGTGCAAAAACACTCATATTGCGATTAAGTACATACTAGCTATGGATAGTTAGAAAGCTATAACATGAAAAGTTATAAAAACAAACATTATTTATTTTCAGATGAGTACATGATGCATCACTACAAAAAAAAATATCTCCATTAATAGCATAAGTGTATAACTCAATTTTTGCAACTGCTATAAAAAATAAATATATTTTTTATTACTATTCAATAACACTAAAACAACACTAATAATATGGTTGATGACTGTTTATACATTCGAGTGACAAAGATCGAGAAGCTGCCAGAGAAGATAAGACTCAAGGTAATGCCGGGAATAAATGTTAGTGTTGGGTATAAATTATGCATAATGTATTTATGTTTTGATTTGTTTTTGCGTATAAATTAACTGGTATTGTAATTTGACAATTAACATAACTTTAGATATTGGATTAAGATGTATTTGATTTTTATTGTATATTTTTTCTTTACTGACCAAATTTTGTTAAAACAACATCTAGTTAATGTAAGCAAATAAAATTAAAAACAAATATGAAATGTTAGAAATATCGGATTTGTTTTTTTTTTCTTAACAAAAAAAATCGATTCAAATTTGGTCTTTTTAGGTTAAAAGACAAAAAAATTTAACCAATTGATTTATAGAGATTCGGTTTACATATTTTGATTAGGTTTTGGTAGTATCCAATTGAACCATGTTCTCTGAAAATCAAAGAAAATAATAAGGGTAGTATCGTAATTTGATGTACGTTCAAAATGCTTAAAAATGGCTCTTTGTTTACGGATTCTCTCTCTCTCTCAACCTCTTGAGATTTTCAAATTCAAACGGCACTTTCAAATATGGAAAAGATCTGTGTAGCAGTCAGGGTTAGGCCACCGGCGCCGGAACTATCGCCGGAAAAT